ATCTGCTCTTCCTGGTTCTATTTTGTTCTTCCCAGTGGGGCCTGATGTGGAGAAAGCAGCTCTAAATGCCCCTGAGCCTGTGCAGCTGGGTGGGGAACAAGTCTAGAGCCTCTGTCTGCTCAAGTGCAGGACATGTCAGATCCCACGTGGGGAACCTCCTACAGCAAAGCTGGAGCCCTTCCCAAGGAGGAAGAGTGATGGAGTAGAGACGCAGTGACAGGAAAGAGGGTCTGGGGCATGGAACACTGGGGACAATGGAGATGGGTCCTGTTCCTCATCCCACATTCAATCATGCTTTGGGGAGATGCCCAGGAATGTGGTTTGTGGGGCAGCAATTTCCAGGACAGTCAGACGGAGTGAAACCTGAGAGCAGGTCAACTGCACAGATTCTCTGAGAGGCTCCAGTTTTACGGTTTCTGTGAGGAACACGTTCCCAGATCCGTTCCTGGCATCCTGGGGCAGAGGAAGGTGTGCAGGTCATGACTGGTTGTAGCTGCACCACAAACAGGCTTGCAGGTCAACATAGGGACAGAGCAAGGGTGGTGGGTGGGAGCCACTGGCTGCCTGTGGCACTTCCCTGCTGGCTGGGATTTGAAATGAGACGTCCACCCTCCCGGGAGCCATACGTAGCACAGGACCAAGTATTAGCACATGAAACCCCAGGAGCAGTCCTCTCCTTTTCACCCAGAATCACTTGCATCGTCTTTACCTTGGACCCTGTAAATTGCCCCAGGGACACAGGCACCTGCGCAGGGCCTGACCTGTGCTGCGGTATGGGCACCACCAGCCTGCTCCTCACTGCTAGGCCTGGACACCTTTCTCTAAGCGTGGGAGCTACAGCTCCCGGCAGGGATCCAGTATTGCAAACAGCTCCAGGCAGCTTCAGAGGGGTCCAGCCCCAGTGGGAGGACACAGGTCTGGAGGGAACACAGGGGCTCTGCCCCAGGTGAGGGTCCCACCCAGGCTCCCTGGGGAAAGCAGGAACTTGGGGAGAACTTTGGATGGTCTAAGGTACCTTTCATGTGGCACCCTGCAAAACCGGACTTCTCTTTTCTCTTCCGTCTGGTGTCTTAGCCTGGGGACGGCTGACAGGCCAAGAACTAGTTGTCAGACCGTAGTTTGAGAGGAGCACTCTGCAGTGAGGGTGGCATATGGTGGGTTCGCGGGTAAGCTCGTGGGAAATGCCAACAGCCAGGATTTATGGACGGGCTCTTACTGCAGTGCTGGGTACA